AAACAACACCTGAAGCAGAATGCTGGGGTGCAAACATTGCTTTTACCAGAAATGTTTTTGTCACTTTTTCCCAATGCATCAGGAAAAAATGCACAAACCATCATAAAATGTGCTCAGGCTGGTATTTCCCATTGCAGCAATGTTTTCTCTCTTTCTTCCTGTGGTTTAGTCAGGTAATTCTTACTAAATACTTGACAATTCCTTGCTGAATCTTGCATCTCCCAAAAGTAAGAATAAGCATAAATTTATCTTAGTGTTTCAGTCACTCAAAAGAGTACTGAAAATACCTACTTTGAGCTAAAAAAGAAGTTTGGAGCTTGTTTCTTTTTTTTTTTTTCAACTTCTCTAAAATTATTTTGGAAAAGAGCAAAGACAATGCTTTAAAACAATTCATCTCAGAACTGGTGCAGGAAATAAACAGTTTATGTGGCTCTATTTGTAGCAAGCCTCTAAGAATAGTGGTGCTTTCTTCCACATTCAGGAGTAGGAGAATAGGACAATATCAGTCCTTCAAACAAGTGATGGACTGAAAGACCAACCCCAAATTCCTCTACTGAAATAAAGGGCATCATAAATAACATGCTAGGAAGGAGGAGCTCAACAGGAAGAAAGGGAATGAAAATTTTTTGCTGTCTCACTGAAAACATGTATGACTCATATCCCAATCTTGCCTTTTTCTGAGTGTTTCGCTTCAGTTGGATGAATCCACCCATAAAAGCCACACAGAACACAATCACAGAAGTCATGGCAGATATCCATGGAGGATATCTATCTCTCACCCAGAGAGGAGGGAGACCTGGTTGTAGAACAGGTTGCCATCCTTGTCTGTATCTCAGTCTGTGCTTAGGATGCCTCCTTTAGAGGATTCAGGTATCTATGAAAGATGAATCACTCACTTTAGTCTCTCCACAGCTATAAAGAGAGTTTAAGATGATTAGCTCAGTTCTGGATAAATATGCCCAGTTCTACCCAAGAGGGTTATCATATCTATGAACAAACTGAAATAAGCCCCAGCAAAATCACAGCACGTCAGGTGAATCCATCCCTGGAGTGTGATCTGGTCTCCTGCTCCACAGACCAGTCTGAACCACCACCCTGCATTTCATTACTCTGCCCTTAGAATTCAATGTTCTTTTGTGTAACACCTGAAGAGTTTTCTCTCTCTGGCCAACAGCTTTCACGTTCTGCTGGGAACACCTTGGAGAGTTTTGCCTCAAAAAATATTCAGATCAGATTCTCTTTTTGTACAAAAAGTGTGGGGTTTTTTAAAGACTTTTTTTCTGTATTAAACACTGAGAAGGAGTAAAAAGTCACTGTGACTTCCACCAGTTTGTCTTCAGGAAAGACTGGATAGGGCAGAGAGGAACCAGCAATTTAACATCTCTTCTTCAGAGTCTGCCTGTAATAGCCCACTTACAGAAAAATGTTAACAGCATTTCCAGAAAGTTCAGGGAAAGGTAAACAAACAAAATAGTGAGGGCTAGGAGATGAAAGTAAAATGTTTTCCTTACAAGAGATACCTGTCAGGTGTTCTCAGCCATTGCTGCCCCTGTACTGCTTTTTTCTTTTGCCTTCTCCACAAGTACCTCAACAAAAAGAACAGGTTTTGTAACAACAAAACCTATCCTCCCAAAGGGGAAAAAAAAACTAACAAAACAAATTGATACTCTGGAGAAATGCATTGTCAAAATCCATAGCACGGCGTTAAGATACAAATGTGAAGATGCATCCCTTTGTGATCAGGAGTACATCACTCCTTTGTACTGTAAAGAGGCTGCATTTTTTAATCTCCAGAATGGCAGGAAAATAAAGCTGAGCAGAGAAATAGGGCCAGGCTCTGCCATTAGATGCATTTGCCAGAGGTCCCAAGCAAGAGGGTTCTTTAAACTCAATTTTCTGAGACAGAGTGACAACGGTAACACTTGATAGTAGCACCAAAAATTAACTGTTCTGCAAAAATACTTTGTGGTATTGTGACATCATTCAAAAAATCATTATTACTGAAATTCTTTGGAAATAGAAATTAAACCAGCAAATAGACACATTCTTGTCAGTCTAGGGTGAACAAAAATTCTAGAGTGGAACATCTTTCACTGACACCTTTCATAGGAAATGAAATGCTGTTCCAGATGCTGTTCTCCATGATGTCCAACAATCTCTCTTTCATGGCTTAGTTATTTCTGCACCTTGTAGGATTCTCCAGACATGAACATCATCTAGTGAACAAATACCTGAAATGTAGGATGGAAAACAAAATCTGGCCTGTCACTAGGAAACAGAAAGCAGACAAGGCTCCAAACTGCAGTGTAGGTTCATTATGAATTTATTGTGAAGTCAGTAAAAGGCTTTTAAGCAATTCTGAATGCCAATTAATTAATTCAAATTTTTAATTTATTAAAACTGATATTGTTACCCATTTTTTTGTTTTTCTTCAATTCAGAAAAAAATATAATGAGAGCTAACAAGAAACATGGGTACTGAGTGTAGAGCATAGACATTTTGAAAAACACACTCAAATTGACATTGATTAAGTTGGTTGTACAAAACCAAAGTTAGATTACAGAGTTCTTTTACAGAAAAGACACTTAATGAGATGGACTGAGCATCTTTTTTGTCCTGGTCATAGACTTGATATATGATTTACTTCCAGCCTGCTTGCTTTTTTATGTTCATTAATGATACATAGCTTTGCACAGGCAATCTGGCATCAGTGAAGGTCATTATGTGTCCACACTAAGTAAGGCAGGATTTGGATTTGCTCATTATGGACTGCCAGAGATACACGTTTGCACTAATACAAAGGCACCCAGCTGAAAACAGAAAAAAATCTGCCAGGCTTTTTACAAAGTGATTATATCTCTGAATTTCACAACCATTAACACATTCTGCTTTCTTTCCACCTAGAGAAAGGCATATGATAGGAAGGAAAATTACCCCTGGGAGGAGAACACGCCCTGTATTTGGGTTAGCTGGTGCCCACCAATTTATGGCTTATTTTAGGCATGCAGGTAGTCTAAGTTTGGCTGGAGAATTCCTTGTGATATCTATTTAAAATAGAGTTCCAGGTAAAAAATTCCATCAAAATGTATTTCTTGCTTCAAGAGAACTAGAAAAAGTGTTTAAACCACAACTGGGTGTTTGACTTCATCTACGGCAAATACAAAAGCCGTGGGCTTGAGATAATAAAAACGATTCAACAAGGAAGGGTAAAAAGTCAACTAGATTAATCAAAAAATATTTTTCTTTCTGATTTTCTTTTAATTTTCAGTGAACAATGATAGCAGAGCCACTTTATTTGCCCCAATTTGTAAAAGAGAACAGTTCCTGTATCCTCCCCTTCCCTTTCATATTAAAATAATCTCTGCTTGTGTCCCAGTTTTGCAAACACTTTCACACATCTTGAGCTTCACATGGGTGATGAGACCCTTTTTACCCTCAAAAGCATGACTTAAGCCCAGGGTTCACAGGACAGGGACTCCTCAGGACAACTTTTGCCTCTCCAGGATGGGTTTCCAAGAGCAGCTTTCCAAAATATCATGCATCCAGGCAAACTTAAGTTATTGAGACACATTTTTGCCTTTCTTATTGATGTCACCTCCCTTTTGTCCCTCCATTCAGTGCCTATATTTAATGATTGGATTATTTTTAAGTGAGACTGTAGAAATGGGGAGTTTATATTCTCAAAACATGGTGATTAGCAAGTGTTCTGTAAATACAATCCACAGAGCTCTTCCAAGATGTGTAATTAAAGTCTGTCTTTTGAAAAGACATTTAATCTTGGGCTGAAAAGTACACACACAACACTTGAGGATCTCCTTGCCTCCTGAGAGGAGCTGTTTCCATGTTTAATTTCCCTCAGATCTAGGAAACTAAATCATATTTCTGGCTGAACTCACTCCATCTGCCCCTGCACATCCACCTTTCATCTCCTTTTGCAAGAGCAAGAAGCCTTCTACTGTCAGATTTCTTTACTCTGTGCTAGCACCTTAGCCATAACCTTGGCTTTTCCATAGGAAAGCAAACTGGAGTAGAATTTGCATTCCTAAACACCCTGATTTACCATGCTGTGTTTAACAAGGGCCATGAGCAGTATCTGGATATTTTCATTTCCCCACGCTTTCAAATGTGATCAGCTCCTGATGGGGAGTTTATATTGACCCCATATGGATACTGTATTCCCTACACTTGTAAAATTAAGGATATTTGAAGTCAAGACACTTTTCTGGTGGGGAAAAATTTCACCAACTTTATCCACATTCAGGTACTCGTTTTCAAAGAAGGTGTGAGGGACTCTCAGGGTGAGTATGGCTGCAGGAACGAAGCTGTAGGGACAGAAAACATCTTCATCAAGGAACCATCCCTCATTATCTTGTTATCAATACAAAATCATCCTAATGTGTACCAGAGACTACAAAAAAGAAGTTATCCTGTAAATATGTAAACATATTTAATAACCCATATGTGCACATATGAATGTATAAACATTATATATATATATATGCATGCATTGTGGTCAAGCCTGTTTTTTGAATTCCACTCATGAAAAGAACAGATAATCACTTCTGATTATTCTCACTGGCATCTATTTGCTTCCCTAACACTCTGGTTTTCCATAAAATGTAATACATAAGGATTAGATGGCAGATTTGTACTCCAGTTTTGGAGTTTGCAGCCATCACTTCCTGGAGAATCTCTCTACTGCCTTCACATCTCTAGGCCAGGTATAGAAAAGAGTCATTACCTGATGTAGATTCAATGGAAAATCAGTGAATTTCAGCACGTGGGTGATTTCTGTGTGAACAAAGGGGCTCCAGTCAATCAGCAGCTCTGCAGTATCAGCACCTGCTATCACAATTTACTGTTAACACCACATTCAAACAACAACAAATAGATTTGTCTGGCTGAAACAGCACTAAGGTTGTGTCTGCTTGGCTGCTTTAAGGACAGAAATACACCCAGAGTCTTTGTGTGCATTCAAATTGGTTATAACTTCCATTGGTTTGTTTCCATTTTCAGAGGTGGTGCTCAAGTCAGCGAGTATATTTTTGCCAAAGGCATCCCATTTGTCAGGCCTTCAGTGACCTTTATGTTTTCAAATTAAGTCTCCTTGTAGCTCTTTTCAAGTTTACAATGGCATTCAGCTTAAATAAAGCAAAACAGTTTGCAAAATATCAGTTTCCATCTCACAAGGCCCCGTGCCCTCCATCATGACAAGTCAATTGATCTGGCAGCCTCAGTTCTCATGAAAGTGGAGATTTATATGGGTGATCAGGGGTACTTATGGCCTTTAGGTTACTAATGGCCAATAGAAAGAGACATTTTCTTCAGATGTAACAAAATGCATGCTTGGATCCCTGAGGTAATGAAAAAAAAAGCAAGTTATTTTGTTTATAAAGGCTACAGGAACTAAATCTCTTAGTAGGGACAGAGTTGAAGCCTCTGTGATTATCTGTAACTATATTATACATATATTATATCTATTATATAGATGTTTGAAGCCTTTATGATTATCTCTATATCTTTCACAAGGTATATAAACACCAGCTGTGACATAGAATTTGTTTTTTTCACTCACTGGCTGCAGCTTCTTAATATGTGAAGTAGTTGCTAATATGAGAACAATAAAGACTCATAGTAAAGTGGGTTTTTCTCCCTCATCTTTCTGTGGGAATTCATCAAGCCCAGTTTGGGAGATATGCCATAATGCTACATTTCATTAGGACACAATGGCAAAGGAAAATAGCTTGAATTTCTTCTTACAATTCTCTTAATGCATTTTATGCACAGAGAAGATGTTTTTCATAAGAGAAAGAGATATGAGCTTAAAATATTTATTAATTGGTTTGGTTTTGTGCTCCAAGTGTGCACTAAAGGTTTCTTTTGTTAAAGTATCAGATGATTAAAGCATCTCTCTGCTCGCAGGTCAGATCAGATCCTGCTTGGTTCAGATCCCTAAATACACACAATTCCTTGATGTTTGTTTTTTTTTCTGTCAGCATGACTGGGTGTCAGAGAAATGGGTAAATGGGTACCAAGGTGAAATTCCATATGATGAGATATTGCCACATCTCCTCCCTTTGCCAAGGACACTTTTCCAGGGGTGAGGATGGTTGGACAGGCAGAAAGGGGGAGCAAGAACCGAAAGCCAGACCATCCCACATCTCCCAGTTCCTGCATCTCCACATGCAGTCTGAAGGTTGGATTTTCTCTGCAGTGAGGGGAGGTCTCTGCTGCAGATTCCACAGCAGACTCACACAGCTTTGTGTGAGTTCTTGGCTTCTGTCTTTAGGCTGCTTCTCCACACCTGGAATAGCTCATTGAAAACAGCAGCTATTTCTTCATTATGTACAAACTCACCCATAAGATTTGTGGGTTTATATCCTTATATCAGAGTGCTCAACTCTTATAGGATGATTATAATTTGCTATAACCCTGTATATAATCTGATCAGTCCTTGAAAATCAGCCTAACTCCAAACACCCAGACTCAGCTCTCCCTGAGAAGCAAGAACAAGAACCTCAAGGCTTTTGTAGTAAAACTCAGGATTCAATCCCCCTTGGCAGGAATCCCCTGTGCTCAGCCTCACTCTAAAAGCTGTCAGAAGGAGAAGGAAAAGCACAGAACATGATGCTGCTGCTGTTTCCCTGTGGGTCCTGTGGCTGTCTACAGCCATTCAACTTCTCCATTCATGCTTCACACCTCTATTTTAGAGCACAAACCATAAATACAAATTAAACAGCTCTACACTCCTCAGTCATACATGGGTGGATGCCCTTCCCCTCAGGTAACATATAAATTGCCTGCTCTGAAGAAAGGTGTTTAAGGTGAACTGGTTTTATTGCTTCTAACCACCTGCCATTATTACACACTTCTTTTCATTTGAAAGCTATAAAAACATCCCGTTTTTCATGAATTCCAGACAAAACCTCTGGCTGGCCGAGCTGGCTGAAAGGAGCCATCTTTCAGTGTGACAGTGTAATAGTGTCTTTTCATCTCAAACAAACAGCTTCTGCCATAGACCTGGTGTGAATTCATAACAACTTCTCTCTGCAGGACTGGAGTCCTTTCAATTCTGCACATCACTGTGGCTTGAACAGTGGATTCTTCAATGTCAGGATTCACAAAGTAGCTCATAGATACAGTTGTCTAATAGATATGGTGCATTCATTCCTCCTGTGCATTATTCCCCCAAGATTTTAGCAATAATTTATCATTGTTTTAAAGCAGGTTGGCTGGCTGAAACACACACACCAATTTTTATATTTGTTCACCAATAAGCACTGTCAGATATGGAGATTTCTGATAGCAAATGTGCATGTTGGTGACAACACACGACATGTCAAATGTCTGCTATAACAAAATAGCACTTGAAAAAGGGCTCTCCTCTGAAATTAATTTACAAATCCAGCACCTAACAAGTAGAGTGAGTTCATTTCTTTTGATTTCAGAAGCTGATTTCTTTTAAAACACAAATTAGGAGATCCTACCCTTGTCATCACTTGCAGAAACAACCGAGATATTAAAGATCTATCAATCTTTTAGCATGCAAAATACACTCTAAATGTATTTTATTACACTTCTAATATAGAAGAGATGGTTCCATAATGGTTAATGCAGACCTGAAAATGGAAATAAAGGAAATCCCTAAGAGATGACACAGCACAGGAAATTTTGTCTGAGGCCAAAATTTTGTGTTTGCTAAATTAGTGAGAATATACAGTACAATATATTCACCTGCTCTTATTCTCATTACAAATGACAGAGATTGCAGAATGGTTGATGTTGGGAGGGACCTCTGGAGGTCCAATTCCCTGCTCAAGACTGTGTCCAGACAGCTTTTGAGCATTTCCAGGGATGGAGACTCCACAGTCTCCTTTAAGGTATTAAAAAAATTAGTTTAGCCTGATGTCCAAGACCTTTCACCAGAAAAAAAAAATAAATAAATCTGAACATGTTGCTTTAAAGACTGTCTGTGGAGGAGCAGGCAGAGGTTCTCTAGCTGCTGGGAAAGAAAAGTTTCTGAGTTTTTTAGTGGCATGCAGTACTCTCCCTTAACCCTACCAAGCCTTAATCCAAAGGGATATTTTTTTTCTGCAGGAATTATGTGGAGGATTCTAATTTCTTGAGATTTTATTGTCCTCAATCTGTTGATTCTGTGCCATTAAATATTGATTACATAGAATTTAGGGATAATTCTTGTATTTTGCAAAGTCCATAATTCCTTCCTAATCTATAAATCATTAGTTATTTCAGTGAGTCAGTAAATTTCTAATTATTTCCTTCCATTGGTTGGGTCAGCAAGCTGAAAACCCAAACATGAATGTGAAATATGCATTTTTGGGTTGGGTTCAGATGGGTTTCTGTTATGAAGAAACAGACTCTTATTTTGCCTGGGGCAATAATCTTTATTTAACTACGCTGTTCAGCTTGGTGAGATATTACAGCTAAAGAAGAGATGGACAAGATTCAGAAATATTTTTTTTTTTTAAAAAGGCAAGAATTTAGAGTACCCTTAAATTAAGGAGAATGATGAGTGACACACTTAACTGAAAAGCTGATTTCCCTAAGAGTTTGATACAAGCTAAGCATTATTTTTACTCACTGCTCTGGACTCTTCCCCACAGCACACATCCCAAAGTCCAGCTCATTCCTCTGTGCTCTGCTCCACTGACTCCATTTCCCTGTTGCCACGATGGGAATGGGCTTTAAAAATAGCTCTGTTTGGCCTTTAGCTAAGACAGCTTCAGATCACCACAACAGATGCTCTCCCGAGCCAATGAGGTGAGTTCCCATCACATTTTTCAGCTGATGGCATTGTATTTCAGCTTCATTAAATGAAGTTTAAGTAGCGCGAGAAAAGCCATTCCTGGGCTATTTCATGCTCCATATAATCTTCAGTGGGCTGTTTTTCACCAGCATTGAGGGAGAAGGTGAGGGAGAAAGGAGGCTTCTGTCACCACAGGTAGCAAGGAATGGGGGTGCAGCCTACCAAAATTACATCCTGCTAATATGCCTGCAGGAAAAGCCAGGGAAAGCTGAGCCCAAATAAATAAAGGAATCGTGTGGAACAGTGACTTAAAGCAGCCCAAGTGACTCTGTGTGGCAGAGAGGTTACAGAACAGTGGGAGCTAATCTAAACAGGCACAGCAAATGCAAAAAATATTTAGAGAAAAAGAAGATTTGTGACTGAGTGCTCAGAAAGAAAGAAAAGAAAGAGCTGCAAGAGAGGCAGCTCTGATGGTGCTTTGATTATCCTGTTGCTGCATGGGATGCTGAACTTCTCTGGATTTTCCAAGCAATTTTAACACAAACTTATTCTGAGACAAAACTACGAGCCAGGCACACACTAACAAGTATTAAACAGTTTCAAAACAGGGAACATCACCACAGAGTAGATAGGAGTGAACAAAACACCTCTGCTCCCCTCTGTTTCCCTCAGGATTCCAACTGGATCTTTCTGTGAGCTGGAGGTGTTTGGCAGCACCCAGAACCTGCCCAGTTTCATCTGGTGCTTGCTCTGACACCACACTCCTCTCAAAGAAGAGTTTTCATTCTTTTGCCTGAAGACTGCCTAGCACAGAGCATCTCCCAGCATGTGGGGTGCTGAGAGCAGCTAAAATGGAGTGAAAAAAAACACCAAAAAAAAACAAAAACACAAAAAAAACCAAAAAAACCTCAAGATTTTTATTCTCCACAGCATGCTCTCATTCTGAGATCACAGTTAAGCAGCTGATGCTTAACTTTGTATTTTTATATCTATATTTATTTTTATATCCTTTATATCTTCAGAAATAATAGAGAGGTTCTCTGCTGTTGATGCAAGAAATAATTTTCTGTGACTATTTAGCCTGATGTTACTAACAGAGGAGAAAGATCTTCCCAAGATCATCTATGCCAACATTTTGATTTATCATCAAAAAGGACTTCCAATCTTCACTTCATGACTTATCAGCTGATGGGTTTTCCCTCAGGTTTAGTTAAGCCTGACACTTGGGAATAGCTCAGCTTGATTAAATTCATTTTTTTTTCTTTTTAAATCAGAGGCACTACAACCCCAAAATGTTAGGAAAGTTCAACAAAAATTCCATTAATATTTAAGTCAGTGTTGCTTTCAACTGTTTTAACACCATCAAAAGTCAGGAAAACCTCCGGGAAACAAGATTAGGACATTCTACTATATCTGATATCCCATTGAAAGAGCAAAGAAAACTTTTTCAGACATAAACTCTGCTCCAGAAGAATGAATTTGTATAATAGAAACAAATAATCCTAACCCGTATTTCTCCTTAAAGACCCCCTCTATTTTCTTGTAAATCTTGCTGAGTTGATGGAAGGCAAGAACACTTCTGCAGTTAGGACTCATGTGAGAATTACATATTTATCTGGAACAATTAACATTCAGAAAGGAATAAGATAAAGTCCTTTAAAAATCAAGAGTACATTGTGGAAGATGGACAGGAGGTCACCTTTCAGCTTCTCACAGTACAAGAACCAGTGTTAAGTATCAGGCTGCAAGTCCAAAATGCAATATGGAAATGTAAATTCAGCTGTGGAATGACTGGACTGAAGTGCTCTGGAGGCCAATGGATTAAAAAAAAAAGAGTTACATGTGATCATAAAGGATAAATCATTACTGTTATTAGGCTGATAAACAAAGGAAAAAAGAAATTATGCAAAAGCTCCTTTTCCTCTGCCTTTTTCCACGTGAAGTCATATATTCAAAGTGCTAGAATTTTATTGCAAGGTTAAATTAGGAAAACTGGGAATAGGCAGAAATATGAGTTCTGCTATGGAAAGAGCAATGTGAACTCGAAGGGAAGTAAAATGAGGAATCTAAGTAAAAAACCCTTGGGGACAAGACTGAAAGGGTTACCATGAAACTGTGACAGGACTCTGAATTTTTATCACTGTTCAACACACACTTGATGTTTTTCTGGCTCTTTGTATGCTTTAACCTATCAGAAAAGGGAGCAAGTTGTGTCTCTTGTCCCTAAAAGATTCTGCCCTGGGCAATTTTCAGAATATCTGTTAAATTGGAGCTTGATTTACATAGAGGCTTCACACTCAGAAAACAATAGTCAAAATTTAACACAAACTTTCTCCTGGAGCTTGTTTCATCCCTGCATATCACAAATTCCCCTAATGTAAAAACCTTTATTCAGGACTCTATTACCAGATCTCTCTCAACAATAGGGAACATTCTGTGGTGGGGTTTTTGTTGTTTCATTGGGTTTTTTTTTAGAGAAAGAATAATAAATATTAACTTAAAAACCAAATTGAGATGCATAGCAAGCTTTGAATCCTGCTTTTCCAAAGGGAAGTGATAACAGCCCTTAACTTGTGACTTGACTTAGGAAAACCAAAACTGTTACCTGGTTCTGTGATTTCAAGCACCAGGACATGATATACAGCTCAGAAAACCCAAAGGACACATTGCTGTGTGCTGAAGAATAGAGAAGTTTGAGCACATGGAGCACTCTGTGCAGCCCTGGGCCCCCTGGTACAAAAAATATATAGACATTATTATTAAGTTACATTAACAGAAAATTTACCTATTCTACAGAATTCTGCTCTAGAAAAGAAATTGATCCACTGGCCTATGCAGAGTAAATATCAGTTTCTTATCAGATTTTAATTACTAGTCCTTCTTTAAGCCTTTTTTACACTACAGGGCCTTTACAGTATGAACAAAGCTATCAGGCCAGGTAACAAGAATTATGAACACTGAGCCAAGAAATCTTCAAGGAGAATTCTCTGCCTGTTGAATTGGTTAATGGGATCCACAGGGTCTTCCCTGCCCTGGGTCACCTTTGGTTTTGGTTCAGAGACTGAGAGGTGCACGAATTTCTGCCTTTTCCATGTTTGTATTGCCATCCATGAGCTACAAGAAGAGCATCACATATCCCTCCAAATGTAATAATAACATTTCTGTTTCAGAGCTGGTTCATGTCTGTCTGGGGCAGACTGGAACGTTGTAGCTACATTTGTACATTTCTGTCCATTAATACATACCTTCAACATTATTTACCACATTCTTCAGTTTAGATTTCCCTTTCCAATTTGTTTCAACTTACACAGATTTTGGGTTCACCTCCTTGTCATTCCATTCACTCTTTCTTCTTTGCTGTCTACCCTGTAATCACCTGTCTCATCAGAACCAAATCCAATGCATCAGGACTCATATAAATAACCATAATCCAAATAAAAGGAATGCTGAGAGATAAACAATACATTAAACACATCCTGGACCATTCCTAGAATGCTCATAACCTATAATGGCATAAATCAGCAGGAAAAAATATGACCAGCTTGCTAGGATCCTTCAGTGCCAAAAGTGTAATATATCTCTGTCCCTAGATTTTCCACCTGAGGGGAAACAAGACAGAAACAACACTCCTCACACTTTCTCTTTTCCTAGCACAATGAGTGTGAAGCCAAAATGATTTCTCTGCTGCCTTGGGCACTCAGGTATTGTTAATCAGATCTCCTTCCTCCAAGCAAACATAAACATCTCCACAGCTCGTGAGTGCTCTGAAGGCAAAACCTGCAGAGCTTTCCCAGTCCAGCAGGAATACCAGACTGCTAAAGTAAGAAATGGCACAAGAATCTCTTCCAGTCTCTCTCCTTGCAGCCAGGGATGCCTCCTCTCCTGCTATGTACAATTTGGAAACTGCCCTCCCATTTCTGTGTGCATCACAGAACTCAAATGGACGAGCAGAGAGCACAAAGCAGTTAAGCTGCCTCTAATCTCAGCAAAGATTTGGCAAATAGATCACATGCAGAGAGGCTTACTAGTACATTCTGAGCAGGCTTAGGTGACAGAATCCCATGTATAGAGTGTTTGTGAATGAAAAGACAAAAAGGCAACAGAACCTTCATTCCCCTCAGCAATGACTAGTCCTACAAAGTGAAATAAATCCCTTTGAATAGGCTGCACAGAATCCAGAGCAACTGAGAAAAAAAAAAAAAGTTCCTCAACTCAAATAAATAAATAGCACCCCCACATTTCCCAGAGACTGCAACAGACGTTTTCAAGAGTAGATAATTGTCTTTGGCCAAGACTTAATTCAATAATGTTGGAAGCCTGAGGGGAATTCCTGGTGCTAGCAAATTAAGATCTTGGTAATTAGCAATGACTGGGCAAACCACCCTCTGTGATCACTGAAAATGCCTCCTACAAGAGCCCAGTCCTCCCCAACCAGCAGCACCAGGAGGAAATATGGTTAAACAGCATCTTGTCATGGAATTGCTCTGTTACATGAAGTCTAAGTCCCCAAACATATGGTGTGGAGAACCTTGCTTAGAGTCTCATTTCCCCCTTCTATCCCGTGCCTTGATAACTGCAGCTGTCAGGCTGGCCCAGCTCCAGCACGTCCAGGGCAGAACTTTCCCAGGATGAGTTAATAGAGAGGCTCCCAGTGAACTCCCAGCTCTGAATGGGGTCTCCAGACCACGTCCCTCCCTAGTTCTGGAACTTTCTTAGGCATCTCTTGCAGCTATGGAAGTAGCAGTGCCAGCACAGATGGGAACAACTGGACTTCTCAAACTTTTCAGCCTGTAGTCAAGCCTGGTGATGAGGAAGCTCATAAAAACCTGCCACATTAATCTGTCTCAGTGATAACATTGTCAAGACACTGCTGAAGTAAATAAGACTGAAGCTCCTGTTTTGCTTTGCAGGATGAAGGGACAATGGCATTAAGACTTAAGGGAGCCGCCTGTTTCATGGAAATTTCAAAGTCCTTCCTGCTCACCCCCCCAGTAAAATTCATAATAATTAATGGAGTAGACTCTGAACAATGCAAAAATCTTTATCAGACAGATGGAACAAAACATCAGTAAATAAATTCAATTTAATTCAAAATCTGTCTCCAAAATATAATTCCATCTGTCTCCAAAATATAATTCCTTTTGATAATAACAGATCACATTTGAACCCATCACATTTAAGTAACTACAGAAAAGTGATTTACAATCAGAAACCTTTTCCTTTCTGTATTACCTTCTCCTCAGCCCAAGGAGATATTTTATATATGAATATATTTTTATTTATCATTTGTAAATATATTTCCATATATAGAAATATATAAGATTTATTTTTATAATAAAAATATGCATGTCCAGGTGCCTGTTGATGTCCTTATTTGCTGATGAAAGCATCCAGTTTCACTTAAATTATTATCTCCAGGGTCCCTATTTTTTATCTTATTTCCAGGGAAATAGCCAAAACTTTATACCCAGGGAAACTGTGCAACATTTCAGTTTCACACTTTCTTTCTCAGGAATTACACAGTCCCCCTCTGACAGGCTAAGGTGTGGTTTTGGTTCTGGCCTAGAACCTGAATTCAGGATGTCTACATGCCATTGTAACTTTCAATCACCCCCTTTAAATCCCTCAGGATTTCTATTTTGGAGGGAATTCTCATGTGCTTTTTAAGGCACACAAGTGTTTCTGTGCTCACAAGGCTACTGACCATATTGTGGTATCACTGTAAGACATGGAATAAAATGCTGGGTTTATTTCTTTATGGTAAACATCAGTTCTCCAGAAGATACTAAAGGGAGAATATTTTATTCTCTGTTTGATGCCTCATGAAGTGACTTACCCAAAGTCACACAAAAGGTTTGCAGTGGCTCAGCCCCCCCATTCCCATTATAATTATAATCCAGGGGGTTCTGTGTTCCCAGTGTTTATCTGTAGAGTGCCTTTCAGTCCTAATCTGTAAGGCATTATTGCATTATATCGCATCACAGAGCAATTGTATTGTGAACAAACAATTGTCTGTAACACCATCTTGTTTGTCATTTTTAATCTTCTTAGGCACACCTGGTTTTGAGCCTCCTGTTGAGTGGCCTGATTTGCTTCTATGTATCAAAAGTAAAAAGATTTTTAAGAAGTCTTATGTAAAGTTCAGGAGCAGAACTGGAAACAGCCTGTTAAAATGAATGACTTGTGATAAACAGAAGAATGGGACAGATGAACCATTTCATCAGCTCCCAGTGTAGTCAAGTCTACTCCAATCTTCAAAGGCATTCAGCATATTTGCTCACTGCTGTGTGAAATCTCTCCAATGAAACAACTTTAGTATTGCCTGCCCTGTTATTGATAGAGGATCTTATCCCACCTTAGGACATAGAAATGTGTGAATCCTGGGAATGAGCCAGAGGTCCCTGTGGGCTCCTAGAGTCAAATGAGACTTGCCCTTGATCACTGTGGAGCAGAAGGGCTGACAAAACCAGACACAGGTCCTGTGTGGCTTTGTGAGCAGGAGCCAAAGGTGGAGATGCAGACATCCAGCACTTCATTAATGGCTTTCTCCATCAGTCTAATGAGTGCTCTGAACTAAAGATCTTCTCAAAGATTGCAAATCCAGTGAGGTAATTAATATCTTGTACTGAACAGTCTAGAGCTTGATTACTTCTGAATCCTTTCTGTCTGGGCCTGTAGCAACACTTGAACTTTGGGAATACAAAATGAATAATGAGGAGAATGGCAGCAGCACCACTGACCTCAAGCCAGTAAATACACAGAGAAATTCCGATTTCTCTGTTTGGCTGATGCACAGTCTGAGTTCCAGTAAAGCACCAAGCAATGGGGACTTAAGGCACAACATCAGGCATGCAATTCATAAACCTGTTTGCATTTATAATATTTTGAAAGTTGCTGTTATGTCCTTGTATTGGATCTGGCTGGGACAGAGTTAATTCTTTTCCTAACAGCCCATATGGTGCCGTGCTTTGGATCTGTGACTAAAACAGTGCTGATATCACACCCGTGGTTTAGCTATTGCCAAACAGTGCTCAAAGCTTCCAGATCTTCTCTGTTTCTCAGTGTGTCCCCTGAGCAGGTGGGCTGGGGGTGGGCAGGAGGCTGGGAGGGGACACAGCTGACCCACACTGACCAAGGGGTGCTCCATGCCATAGAATGGAACTTCCAAAAGAGCCACTCTTCAGAGACCTGCTGGGCATCAGTCTGCTGGTGGGAAGTGGTGTCTGTCTTTGCATCACCTTTTTGTCTGTATTTCAACCCCCAAGTTGTTTTTTTTTATTCTCTTCTGATTCTTTCCCCCACCTGCTGCAGAGAGCAATGAGTGAGGAGCTGGTGGGTGCTTGGTTGTGTGACAGAACCCACCACAGCTCTGAAATCCCCTGTAGCCCCAATCTCAGCTCCTCTGATTATATTTCAAGAATAATAAAACCAGAAAAATCTATTCCAGGCAATTCTATCCAAACTGACCACTGACAGAACCAAGTAACAAAGCTTGAGTGATTACAGAATGCTCATTTTAGGGCAGAACTGGAGCTCTGTAAGATCAGTGGCCCAGTCTTCAACAGTGCATCTCAGTCAGTGCAGATAACAGGATGGAAGAAATCCATACATGGGTGGGAGAGTCCCCAGAAATATCCTCTCTTTAAAATGTCGCAGCATAAAGAACAGAAATTCAATACAGGGAACAATGAATTTTTATTCCCTTCCTGGCAGAAGCTAAAGCGCAATCTTCAAAGTACAGAAATGCCAACACAATCTTTATGCTTGTACACAATTATTTTGGAGAGTGATTTTTAGAAGCATGTAGTGGATGCAGGTGTGCAGCTCCTCACAGGTTTTGCCCCTTAATGCTCCAAATTGCAGCACTCAGAAGATGCACTCAATAAACATCACAAAATAGCTGTTACTGTGCCTTACAGAAGCGTGCTCTCTCCTGACCTGGCTGCTCATTGTGGCAGCTGGAAGAGACAGAGGGGAAATCATTTCACATTTCAAAGCTTTTCTTGCTTCATGTCAGAAATACACAGAGAAATATCTCCTCTGGGTACTACATGAACTAAGCAGAACTTGGAAGCTGGGGACATAGCAGTCAGTTCTCTTCCCTGGGCCAGAGGATGAGAAGATTCCAACCATTTCTGTGTCCCATCCACCCCTCTCTGTGAGCAGCACCCCCTCCTGCAAGTGCTGCAGAGCCCAGCCAGGGATCCAGCCCGTGGAGACCTCGCTGCTGCCACAGCACCAGCACCAGCTCCTCAGCACTGCCCTGGTGACACCAGGCCAGTTTCCCTCACACTGACCAGCAGAACCTTCTGAAGGAGCTGGGTAAAGCCAGGGCTTGCTCAGGGTCACTGGGACCTGGGAGGGCACCAAAGTCACCCCTGGCACGGGCACCTGTCCTGCCACGATGGGCTCCTCACACAAAAGTGATGCCAAAGTCATTCTTCCCTCCATAATCCAAATATCAGGCAGCTGGAAAGCCAAGAGGAAAATGGGATTGCTCCTGGTGAGTCGTACAAACCTGAGAGGCCATAAAACAGAGCTGGCTGAGCTGGTACCTTACACCTTTCATCACAACCACAAAATCGTTTCTTTTTAAAATTTCTTTACTTTTTAGCAGCAAATACCGAGTCCCTGAACTGTGGTTGGTTCTGCAACTCTCTTCACCATCTCTCATCCTGAGTTCCTGCCTAGCAACTTTCTTGGCATTTAGCTACACAGTGAAATCAGATACCATGTGAAAAAATACTTCATTTTGCCAGTTTTGAACATGCTATTTTTCAGTTTCATTCAATATCATCTCTCTCATGTTGTGAATCACAGAGGACCTAAATTCCAAATTTCTTTCCTGGATTATTCATTATTTTATATGCTGTTATCAGGGCTTTCTTATTCAATCTTAAGAACAAACAAATCCCATCTGTTCTGTTTCTCTCCACATTTATCATTTCAGAGTTTGCACAGTTAAACTTTATAGGAAGAAAAGTCTTTTTTTTTTCTACCTCCTGTGTGGAAGAGAGGGAACCACCACACACTAAGGATGTTCAGCTCTGGAGAATGATACAAAGAAATAACATTTTAGGATTGTTAAAATGGATGCCATTTACCTCTTGTGATGTGGCAGACTAAAAAATGCACTCTGCACCTGTCAGAATTCTCAGAGAGTTCTTCTGTTTGCAAAAAAATACATCTTCTGAGTGGGG